TTCTTGCCTGCTACCCAGATAGAGCCAATCTATCAAGGCAGGGGAATTGCAATAGTGAAAAGTTTTACACACATAGAGCAAACTAAACAGCAGACTGTAGTTTTATTATTATTCAAATCAACCTCCCCAAAAATTCAGAGGCTAGGGATTTTCAAGGATAGTTTGGGGGAAGAGAGTGGGAGTTGCTGCCGACTGGTTGGGGTGCAATCATAGGGGTGTGGCAAATGGTCCTCCTGTGTGCTGAGTCCTTCTGGGTGGGGCCACAGAAGTGGTAGTTGGATCGAGGTGGAGCTATGATACACCTGGACCCATCAGTCTTCAGACATGCCCAAAAAATACAGAAAAAAGCCTGAAAAGATGTCTCAAAAGTCCAATCTTAGGTTCTACAAGAGTGATGCTATCTGCAGGAGTAATTAGGTAAGCTGTGACCTCTGGAATACTGGCTAGCACTCCTTGATGTCTACACTTTAGCAGAATTCAGGCTCCTCTCATTCTCCTAGCCTGATGTTCTCTCAATAGCTTTACAAAGGTGATTGAGTTTGGGGGAAGGGCCATTATCATTTAAACTATAAATGTCTCCCAAAGTTAGCTTGGCCCAAGCCCAGGTATAATTAAGGACAGTTTGAAAGCTAAAGGCGAGACAGGGTTTGATTAGGTCAGATCTCTTTTGCTGTAATTTTCTCACTGTTATAATTTTTGCATAGGTGATTTCAACAATAAAGTTCCAGTAGGCAGACAGTGATACCTCATTTTTCATGCTACTAAAGCTCTTTGTGTGTATTCAAATTAGAGTATTGTAAGTTAATTATAATTTATACTGGTCAAAACCCCATTTTCATCTCCAAATCATCCCCAAATTTCCCAGAGTAATAATATTTAACATCTATTGAGTGACATTTTATACTAGTCATAGTGTTACAGGAAAGAGGTCCAGATCCAGACCTCAAGAGAGGGTTCTTGGATCTCATGAAAGAAAGAATTCAGGGCCGCGCGTGGTGGCTCATGCCTGTAATCCCAGCACTTTGGGAGGCTGAGGCAGGTGGATCACCTGAGGTCGGGAGTTCGAGACCAGCCTGACTAACATGGAGAAACCCCGTCTCTACTAAAAATACAAAATTATCTGGAGTTGGTGGTGCATGCCTGTAGTCCCAGCTACTGGGGAGGCTGAGGCAGGAGAATCACTTGAACCTGGGAGGTGGAGGTTGCAGTGAGCCAAGATCATGCCATTGCACTCCAGCCCGGGCAACAAGAGCAAAACTCGGTTTCAAAAAAAAAAAAAAAAAAAATCAGGGCGAGTCCATAAAGCGAAAGCAAGTTTATTAGGAAAGTAAAGGAATAAAGAATAAAGAATGACTACTCCGGCCGGGCGCGGTGGCTCAAGCCTGTAATCCCAGCACTTTGGGAGGCCGAGGTGGGCGGATCACAAGGTCAGGAGATCGAGACCACAGTGAAACCCCGTCTCTACTAAAAATACAAAAAATTAGCCGGGCGCGGTGGCGGGCGCCTATAGTCCTAGCTACTCAGGAGGCTGAGGCAGGAGAATGGCGTGAACCCAGGAGGCGGAGCTTGCAGTGAGCCGAGATCGCGCCACTGCACTCCAGCCTGGGCAACAGCGTGAGACTCCGTCTCAGAAAAAAAAAAAAAAAAAAAAAAAAAAAGAATGACTACTCCATAGACATCTCTTAGAATGTCTTAAATGTCTGGGAATACAGCCCAGTAGGTCTGAGCCTTATTTTACCCAGCTCCTATTTAAGATGGAGTTGCCCTGGTTCAAACGCGTCTGACAACAGTTCTGTTAGTCCAAACTGCACCATTTTGTAAGCTCCCCACTATTTTGCAGACCTTGGTCAAAGTGAAACATTTCACAGGGTTTCGGGGCTGTAAGAAACATCCTGTCTAACCACTCGACCACAAGGTGGACAAAGGCCCAAATAAAGAAACATCCCTATCATATGTTGCTGGGCAAAGTTCCAAGGAACACCACGATGACATCTTCCAGAACAAGGGCCAGAACTGCCTCATCACAGGAACATCTCATCAATATCCTGCCAGGCAGCAAGCCATCCTGCCCAGACCCCTCCCACCCATACCTATAAGTACCCCCAGCCTGTAAGCAGTGGTGGGCTCTGGCATTAGGCTGGTCCCCCACTTCTGTAGGTTTTATGCTGGACATGAAGCCTGCATTTACTGTCGAGCCACCCTCTTTCTGTGTGTGTTTGTGTGTGTGTGTCTTTCTCTAACCCTCGCGTTCCCTTCAAAACCTAACAAGTTCTAGAGACTTTTCACATATTAACATATGTATAATCCTCCCAACAACCCTACAATATAAATACTACTATTCCTATTTTGCAGATAAGAAAACTGTGGCACAGAAAGGCCAACTAACTGACCCACAATTACTAAGTGGCAAAGTTGGGATTCAAACCAAGACTGACACAGGAGCCCACATTCCTAAATTTTTAGCAACAGAAAAATAACCTTTATAATACCCAGTCCTACCTCAGAGGCGTTTGATCCAGAGTGCCTCCATCTTGAATAGGGGCTGGGTAAAATAAGGCGGAGACTTACTTGGCTGCATTCCCAGGAGGTTGGGCATTATTATTATTATTATTATTATTATTATTATTATTATTGAGACGGAGTTTCACTCTTGTTGCCCAGTCTGGAGTGCAATGGTGCGATCTCAGTTCACTGCAACCTCCACCTCCCGGGTTCAAGCGATTCTCCTCCTTAGCCTTCCGAGTAGCTGGGAGTACAGGCATGCACCACCACACCTGGCTAATTTTGTATTTTTAGTAGAGACAGGGTTTCACCATGTTGGTCAGGCTGGTCTCAAGCTCCTGAGCACAGGTGATCCACCTGCCTCAGCCTCCCAAGTGCTGGGATTACAGGCATGAGCCACTGCGCCCTCTGCCTATGGAGTACCCGTACTTTTATTCCTTTACTTTTTTTTTTTTTTTGAGACGGAGTCTCGCTCTGTCGCCCAGGCTGGAGTGCAGTGGACGGATCTCAGCTCACTGCGAGCTCTGCCTCCTGGATTTATGCCATTCTCCTGCCTCAGCCTCCCGAGTAGCTGGGACTACAGGCGCCCGCCACCTCGCCCGGCTAGTTTTTTTTTTTTGTATTTTTTAGTAGAGACGGGGTTTCACCGTGTTAGCCAGGATAGTCTCGATCTCTTGACCTCGTGATCCGCCCGTCTCGGCCTCCCAAAGTGCTGGGATTACAGGCTTGAGCCACCGCGCCCGGCCTATTCCTTTACTTTCTTGATAAACTTGCTTTCACTTTACTGTATGGACTTGCCCCGAATTCTTTCTTGCAGGAGATCCAAGCTCTCTTGGGGTCTGGATGGGGACCCCTTTTCAGGTAACACTACCTGACCTGTTTTTACAGATGTGCCTGAATTACACAGTTTCACAGGCAGAGTTTAAAGAAAATCAATTCTAAAAAAGAAGACAAAACAGTTTGCAGCAACACTTAACAAAATCCTCTTCCTTCTCCTATGTTCTGTCCTTACAGACTTGGATTTCAAGGACTCCAACAACGACAGTTACCAGTACTCCAGGCCCCACACAAAAAGCCACAAAAGCAGTCACCTTCCTCAGTTATTTTATTTGATAGATGACCCCAGGCTCCCTGTGGCAAAGAAGAATCCTTTCTTTTTCTTTCTTCCCCCCGCCCCCCCGCCCGCCCCCGAGACTTTCTTGCTCTGTTGCCCAGGCTGGAGTGCAGTAGCATGATCATGCCTTACTGCAACCTTGACCTCCCACGATCCCCCTGCCTCTCCCTCCTGAGTGGCTGGGACCATAGGTACATGCCACGCCTGGCTAACTGTTTTTTGTATTTTTTGTAGAGACAGGGTTTTGCCATGTTGCCCAGGATAAGAATGTTTCTTTAGAAATCTGGAAATTGCCTTTACGTTCCCTTAGGAGTAGGAGAGAAGGCCCTGAAGATTCGCACATGGTCACTCCTAGAAAATTGCCCTGGGATAGTTTGCTGAGGAGGCAAATTTTGGACAATACTAGTTTCTTTTCTTCAAAGTCCATCAAAGGCATTGTTCAAAAGAAATGGCTGTACCGCTATTTGTAATCGATTCTCTACAGCTTCAAAAATAGTTATCTCTGGTTGGGGGAAGGGCACCTGAACTTTTAAGACTTGAGGCCTTCTTATCACAAAAATGATCCATACTCACAAAAACCTAAGAGGCAGAGGGTATGTTAACCTGGATTAAGAATCCCTAGGCCGAGTGCGGTGGCTCACGCCTGCAATCCCAGCACTTTGAGAGGCCGAGGTGGGTGGATCACCTGGGGTCAGGAGTTCGAGACCAACCTGACCAACATGGACAAACCCCGTCTCTACCAAAAATGCAAAATTAGCCAGGCGTGGTGGCACAAGCCTGTAATCCCAGCTACTTGGGAGGCTGAGGCAGGAGAATCGCTTGAACCTGGGAGGCGGAGGTTGCGGTGAGCCGAGATCGCGCAATTGCACTCTAGACTGGGCAACAGGAGCGAAATTCCATCTAAAAAAAAAAAAAGAAGAAGAAGAAGAAGCCCTAACGCAGAGGAAAAGATTGGTGAGCTTTGTTTAATCACACTGGCTGTACATTTTCGACGCCCCCTCCCTCTGCTCTGCAGGAATCCGCTGTACTTCTGACGGCCCATAGGTGGCACTGCAGGGACAGGAAAGTGCACCGGGAGCGCCAACCGGTGAGGCTGATAGGCGGCGGGGCTTCAATGCGCCACAACATGGCGGGAGGAGCCTAAGAAGCGGCGAGGAAAGGCAAGTGTTCCGCTTGCGCAGACGCAAGGCTGGGCACTCCCCTGGGAGTGAGGGTTGCTGGGCTTGATGACGTGGCTTGGCAACGTCCCTACTGGCGCTGCCTCCCGGGAACCTGGCGCCGCCGGAACTGCCCGCGGCCTAGTCCCGACGCGCGTGTGCTAGTGGGCCGGAGCCGGGGACAGCAGCGGCAGCAGCAGCGGCAGCGGCAGCGGCGGCCCGGCCTGCGGGAACCCGACGGGGCAGCTGCCATGGGGGAGTGACGCGCCTGTGCCCGCTGTTCCGCGACAGCGGCGAGACATGAGGAGACCCCGCGGCAGGGGCAGCGGCGGCGGCTCGTGAGCCCCGGAATGGAGGAGAAATACGGCGGGGACGTGCTGGCCGGCCCCGGCGGCGGCGGCGGCGGCCTTGGGCCGGTGGACGTACCCAGCGCTCGGTAAGGGACCTATCCGAAAGGCAGCGACCGGCCGGGCCGCTCAGGATACACCTTCCCAGGCCTCCGTCCGGTCCCCGCTGACAGCCCGGGACGTCCCGGGGTCGGCGCGCACTCTCCCTCTGCCTCTCTCCCTGCGCGCAGGCTGCCTCCGGGCTCCCCGGGCCTTTCGGGTGCCCGCTGCAGAATGAAGGCGCTAAAGCCAGAAAGCTTCTGCTTGAATTTCTGGGTTACAAGGCAGTCAGTCAATCTTAGAACTGCCCGCCAGATCAAGTGAGAGGTTTTTCTGATCTGTGAGAAGCCTTTCTCTTGGCTGTTTCTCCCTGAAATAGTCTGGTGACTACTTAACCTCTCTGACGTTTCCCTGCATAAGTTAGGGGAAGGTGTCACCATCATCTCTCGTCAGGCAACGAAACCAAAGTACATACGTGAACTTGGATGTTCAGATTAACCGAGCACATCGAGGGTCCAGCCCTATTTTCTTTTTTTATTTTATTCTTAAGTAAGAAATGTGTCTTCGTTGTCAAAAAAAAATCTAAACAGCACAGCAATTCATAGAGTAAAAAGTGAAAATTACCACTTCCTCTCTCCAATTCTCCCACCAACCCCAAAAGTAAGGGACCAACAGGTGCAGCGACCACTTTCGAGTATGTCCTTCCTAAATTCTGAGATAGTGTCAAAGATGTACAAAATATAGCCCTGCAATTTGGCTGGAACTGTGTTCATTGCCTCCAATTTTAACGAGTTCTTCTCATTCTGGAACAAATACTTTCTTTGATATTTAAAGAAAGTGATAAATGTGATAAATTCTTTAGAACTGTAGTAATAACATTATAAAGTAACCTTTTTTTTTTTTTTTTTTTTTTTTTTGAGACGGAGTTTCACTCTTGTTGCCCAGGCTGGAGTCCACTCACCGCAACCTCCGCCTCCCGGGTTCAAGCGATTCTCCTGCGGCAGCCTCCCGAGGACGTGGGATTACAAACATAGGCCACCACGCCTGGCTAATGTTTTGTATTTTTAGTAGAGACGAGGTTTCTCCATGTTGGTGTGACTGGTCTACCTCAAGTGATCCGCCTGCCTCGGCCTCCCAAAGTGCTGGGATTACAGGCATGAGCCACCGAGCCGGCCCAACATAAGCATTTTTTATAAAAAGGAAAGAACACCACATAGGACAGAACTTAAAGCAACTGCATTTTTGTAGCATACATTTAATTTTCTAATCTATTTAGAGCATCTCATTTTGTAAATAACAGCATATCAGATGTTAATTATTGAGACATGACAACTAAATGCAGTAGGCAATTCTGGTCTGATTTGGTAGGGGGGAAAAGTGCTTTAAAGGACGTTACTGGGTCAATTGACAAAATTGTACTATGGACGGTAGATTAGATAAAAGTATCATATCAGGCCAGGCGCAGGGGCTCAGGCCTGTAATCCCAGCACCTTGGAAGGCTGAGGCAGGCGGATCACCTGAGGTCGGGGGTTCGAGACCAGCCTGGCCAACATGGCGAAACCCCGTCTCTACTAAAAATAGCAAAAAAAAAAATTAGTTGGACGTGGTACACGCCTGTAATCCCAGCTACTCAGGAAGCTGAGTCAGGAGAATGGCTTGAACCCAGGAGACAGAGGTTGTGGTGAGCCGAGATCGCATCACTGCACTCCAGCCTGGGTGACAGAGCGAGACTCCGTCTCAAAAAAAAAAAAAAAAAAAGCATATCACTTAAATTTCCTGAAGTAAACAGCTCTGCTGGTTTTATAAGAGAATGTCCATGTTCTTGGGAAAAACAAGTATTTAAGCATAAAGAAGCATGAAGTATGTAACTTACTCTCAAATAGTCCAGGGGAAAAACCTGTGTGTGTGCATTTAGAGAAAGAATAATAAATCACATGGGATGATACATTAACAATTACGGAGTCCAGGTAAAGGATATACTATTGTAACTTTTACGTAAACTGGAAATTATTTTTAAATGAGTAGTTTAAAAGTGTTATTTATTCAAGAGTGTAAAGAGCGTAATGTCTCAGGTAGGGAAATGTGGTAAACAATCCTTTGCTATTTTATTTGTACTATTTACTTAGCAGAGTTGCCCTTCTATTGTAGTTTATTGCAGAATCAAATTCAACTCAGAACTGGTTGAATTTTGATGAATTCCAGGTTGCAAGAGTTCTACTTTATTTCAGGTTGCAAGAGTAAAGGAAGGATGAGGTCCTGGATGGAAAATGTGGAGATTAAAAAGGGGTTTCCCCTCTTAACTCTGCCTCCCATTCTCTCATTTAACTCCAATATCCCAAAAGCCAGGCTTCAACCTTCCGGGAGGACCCTTCTGGAAAACTTACCAAATCTCCAGCAGTTGTCTAGGTATAAAGTAAATGTAGGCTGAAGCAGGAGGATCAGTTGAGCCCTAGAGTTTGAGACCAGCCCTAGTAACATAGTGAGACCCCCATCTCTACAAAATATAAAAATTAGCCAAGCACATTGGCAGTGCATGTAGTTCCAGCTACTTGAGAGGCTAAGGCAGAAGGATCACTTGAGCCCAGGAGGTCAAGGCTGCAGTGAGCTATGATCCCATTACTGCACTAGAGCCTGGGTGACAGTGCAAAACCCTGCCCCACCTTCCCCCCAAAAAAAACTCCAAAAAAAAAACCCCACAAAAAACCAACAACAACAAAATAAAGCAAATGTATATGTACTAGAAAAAAATAGAACACAAAAAACACCCTTAGAGATTTTAGTAGTTTCTTCCCTTCCTTTCTTCCCTTTTTCTTTCCTTCCTTTCTTCCCTTTTTCTTTCCTTCCCTTCCTTCATTCCTTTCTTTCTTCCTCTTCCCTTTCTTTCTGACAAGGTCAGTTCCTCTGTTGCCCAGGATGGAGTGCAGTAAAATAATCATGACTTACTGCAATCTCAAACTCCTGGGCTTAAGCAATCCTTCCATCTCAGCCTTCCCAGTATGTGAGATTGCAGGTGTGCACCATCATGCCCAGTTCATTCTTTAATTTTTAGTAGAGATGAGGTCTTGCTATTTTGCCCAGGTTGGTCTCGAGCTCCTAGGCTCAAGCAATCCTCCTACCTCAGCCTCCCAAAGTGCTGGAATTACAGGCGTGAGCTACCATACCTGGCCTGGATTCTTTGATTTTTAAAGTTCCAGTTAATGAACTGTTGGGCTAAAGATGAAAAACCAGGCTAAGTAACCTATATTGATAAGCAAAATTATTAATAAGGAGACATTCCTAGTTCATGTTATGAAGGAAAAACAATGGCATTGATTTATCAGGAAGTGAAGATGGGAGAGGAGAAGAAAGGGAGGCTAATTTTTAAAAACTTTTTGGAGAGACGGGGTCTTGCTATATTGCCCAGGTTGGTCTTGAACTCCTGGACTCAAGTAATCCTTCTGCCTAGGCTTCCCAGGCATGAGCCACCATGCCTGGCCCATCCTCCCCACCCCCCAATTTATAAACCATCATTTCCCATTAACTAGTCTTGTCAAAAGTTATCAGTGGACTTTTCTGTGAAGGTTTAGAAAATTCCCTGGTTCTGGCCGGGTGCGGTGGCTCAAGCCTGTAATCCCAGCACTTTGGGAGGCTGAGACGGGCGGATCACGAGGTCAGGAGATCGAGACCATCCTGGCTAACACGGTGAAACCCCGTCTCTACTAAAAAATACAAAAAACTACCCGGGCGAGGTGGCAGGCGCCTGTAGTCCCAGCTACTCGGGAGGCTGAGGCAGGAGAACAGCGTAAACCCGGGAGGCGGAGCTCGCAGTGAGCTGAGATCCGGCCACTGCACTCCAGCCTGGGCGACAGAGCCAGACTCCATCTCAAAAAAAAAAAAAAGAAAGAAAATTCCCTGGTTCTAAACGTGGTGGGCTCACACCTGTAATCCTAGCATTTTGGGAGGCCAAGGCAAGTGGATCACCTGAGGTCAGAAGTACGAGACCAGCCTGGCCAACCAACATAGCGAAAACCTGTCTCTACTAAAAAATACAAAAATTAGCCTGACATAGTGGCAGGCACCTGTAATCTCAGCTGCTCAGGAGGCTCAGGCAGGAGAATCACTTGAACCCAGCGGCAGAAGTTGCAGTGAGCTGAGATCGAAGATAACTCCCTGGTTTTCTAAACCTGAAATTACTGAAGTTTGGATTTAGGTTCAAACCTGCCTCTTGGGCTTTGCCTACTGCAGTGGCTCAACAGTTCTCTGGCTAAAAAATAAAAAATCAGTGTGTAATTCAAGTTCAATTCAGTCAATAAATACTCAAGTATCTACTATGTAGAAGGCACTATATATGGGGTTTTAAACAACTCAGACTACCAGCTCATTTATTAGTTGTGTGACCTTGGGCAACTTACTTTTCTACAATTCAGTTTTGTGAAACAGGGATACCACTTCTTGGTTTGTAGGACTGTTGTAAGAATTAAATGAAATGATGTATTCAAAGCACTTGGAACATAGCAGGCGCCCAACAAATGTTAGCTGTGACCCTGTGCCCTTCCCCACAAAGAGGACTTAAAGCAAAATAAACCTTTGTTTAAAATAATACATATTTGTAAATTTGGGCATAAAAATACCCACAATTAAAGGACTTGTCAACTAGTTTTTGTTGCAGATTATAACTAGTATTTGATTTTTGGTCTATATAAAGTAAAACTCTTGCAACCTGGAATCCATCAAAATTCAACCAGTCCTGAGTTGAATTTGATTGATTCTGCAATAAACTATAATAGAAGGGTAACTCTGGTAAGTAAATAGTACAAATAAAATAGCAAAGGATTGTTTACCACATTTCCCTACCTGAGACATTACGCTCTTTACACTCTTGAATAAATAACACTTTTAAACTACTCATTTAAAAATAATTTCCAGTTTATGTAAAAGTCACAAGAGTAGTATATTCTTTGCCTGGACTCTGTAATTGTTAATGTATCGTCCTGTGTGATTTATTCTCTCTCTCTCTCTAAATGCACACACACAGGTATTTTTTTCCCCTGGACTATTTGAAAGTAAGTTACATACTTCATGCTTCTTTATCCTTAAATACTTGTTTTTCTTAAAAACATGGACATTCTCTTATAAAGCCAGCAGAGTTGTCTACTTCAGGAAATTTAAGTGACCTTGCCAGAGGCTATGACTGGTGACTCCTAATAGTGGTTGAGGAGAGAGAGTTGCCTGCCGGCTGGGCAGGAACCTGGAAATCTGATTACTTGGAAGACTTCCTAGAGATCCTCTTCTTTTCAGCTTCTCATTCCCCTCCTGAGGTGTTTCCAATTCCTGAGCCTTTTTAGGACTCTAGGTCCAGTCAATTGACCTTTCAACCACAACTCTCACTGTAGTCACTTAACAAGGCAGAGGAGGCGCGAACCAAAGGCATTTACCATTCTTCCGTTTCTTCCTTTATTGTGGTCTTTTCATAACAGAATTTAGTTTTTATTCCGTTCTCCTTATTTGTTTGGAGGAGTTATTAAGTTAGAAAGCAGATAACAAAATAGTCCAGCAACTTGATCAAGAAAATTTTCATTTTTCGTTGGGCATTTTTTGTTAAAAGTAGACTGTAGCTGTACATAATCATTCATATACATTGAAAAGAAACCCAAAATGTTGTGGTTGGTTGGTTTTTGTTTTGAGACAGAGTCTTACTCTGTTATCTAGGCTGAAGTGCAGTGGTGCAGTTTTGACTCACTGCAACCTCTGCCTCCCGGGTTCAAGCGATTCTCTTGCCTCAGCCTCCCAAATGGCTGGGATTACAGGCACCTGCCACCACGCCCAGCTAATTTTTGTATTTTAGTAGAGGTGAGTTTTCGCCATGTTGGCCAGGCTGGTCTTGAGTTCCAGACTTCACGTGATCCACTCACTTAGGCCTCCCAAAGTGCTGGGATTACAGGCATGAGCACCCAGCCTGTTTGTTTGTACTTTGAGACAGGGTCTCACTCTGTTGCCCAGGCTGGAGTGCAGTGACACAATCACAGATCACTGCAACCTCAGCCTTCCAGGCTCAGGTGATCCTCCCGAGGAGCTGAGACTGCTGCCACGCGCCATAATGCCTGGCTAATTCTTAGTATTTTTTGTAGAGATAGGCTTTTGCCATGTTGCCCAGGCTGGTCTCAAGCTACTGCACCTGGCCTCAAAATGTTAACAGCAGGTTGGGCGCGGTGGCTCACACCTGTAATCCCAGCACTTTGGGAGACCAAAGCTGGAGGATTGCTTGACCCAAGGAGTTCGAGACCAGCCTGGGCAATACATTGAGACCCCGTCTCTATGATTTAAAAAAAAAAGTCAACAGTAATTATCATGTGGATGGTGAGTTGTTTGGGGACTTTGTTTTGTTTCATTTTTTGTTTATGTATATTTCTATGGTTTCTGTAATGACCTCTTGTTTAAAAAACCAGATTGATGAGTTCCTTGTAATTTCAATGATACTAAAAATTGTTTCTGCTTTTATTTTTCAGATTAACAAAATACATTGTGTTATTATGTTTCACTAAATTTTTGAAGGCTGTCGGACTTTTCGAATCATATGATCTCCTAAAAGCTGTTCACATTGTTCAATTCATTTTTATATTAAAACTTGGGTGAGTGTGTGGATTTTTTTTTCTTGATTTTTTTATTTCTTTGAAAATCCTGTTTTAACAGAGTATCTTTAAGAAACTTTACATGCAATATTTTGTTTGTTCCTCCTGACAAGTATTTGATAAATTGCTTTAACTGGGAGTATACTTAAAATTAGAGCTACAAAGAGACTGAAAAGAAAAGGGATTGTTGTGCTCTAATCACTTGCCTAAACACAGACTTTGATGAGATTTTTGCAAATTGATTTTAATATCTGGCTTAATAGAGGATAGCCAGATTCTCATAAGTGCCTCAGTATTGAACCTGTTGCAGTATTAGCAATTTCGCTCTATACTCCTGGGAAAATAAGAGTGAAAGGGGCAGATAATGTCTTGGTATTTTTTTGAAAATCATTTCAACCTTGCTGACTTCCTGAAAGGGTCTCAGGGACACTAGGGATTCCTACACTATTTGACTGACACAACCTAATCTTCAAACAGGCACAGGGTGTTATCTGAGGCCTGTCTTGGAACAAATATTCCTTATTTTCTAAGTTAAACCATGGTTGGGCTGTGTTCACTACATAATCTTTTCTTAGTACAGTCCTCATACAGTATGAACATTAAATTATCCTACTTATAAGAAATGCTTTTTTTTTTCTTTTTTGAGACACAGTCTCGCTCTGTCACCACGCTGGAGTGCAGTGGCGTGATCTTGGCTCACTGCAAGATCACTGCCTCCCGGGTTCAAGCAGTTCTCCTGCCTCAGCCTCCCGAGTCGCTGGAACTACAGGTGCTCACCACCATGCCCAACTAATTTTTGTATTTTTAACAGAGACAGGGTTTCACCATGTTGGCCAGGATGGTCTCAATCTCTTGACCTTGTGATCCGCCCGCCTCAGCCTCCCAAAGTGCTGGGATTACAGGCATGAGCCACCACGCCCAGCCTACATATAAGAAATTCTGAATAAAGATTTCTTGGATCTTGAGGTTGATAGTGACCACCCTCTCTGTTAATAAAAACCAATTAAAGACTCTTGGGAGTCAGCTGGGTGCAGTGGCTCACACCTGTAATCCCAGCACTTTGGGAGGCCGACGGGGGTCGATCACCTGAGGTCAGGAGTTGGAAACCAGCCTGGCCAACATGGCAAAACCCCATCTCTACTAAAAATACAAAAATTAGCCAAGCATGGTGGCACATGCCTGTAGTCCCAGCTACTAGGGGGTCTGAGACAGGAGGATCGCTTGAACCTGGGAGGCGGAGGTTGCAGTGAGCTGAGATTGTGCCATTGTACTCCAGCCTGGGCAATAGAGCGAGACTCCATTTTAAAAAAACACTCTTGGGAGTATAATTTTGGTAATTTGGGAAATAGATTATTGATTAAGAAATATTAAGCCACCAGTTATGTGCTTTTTTTATTTTTTATTTATTTATTTTTTTTGAGACAGTCTGGCTCGGTTGCCCAGGATGGAGTGCAGTGGCTCAATCCACTCACTGCAGCCTCTGCCTCCTGAGTAGCTAGGATTACAGGTGTGTCCCACCATGGCTGGCTAATTTTTGTATTTTTTTTTAGTAGACACGGGGTTTTCCCATGTTGGCCAGGCTGGTCTCCAACTCCTGACCTCAGGTGATCTGCCCACCTCAGCCGCCCAAAGTGCTGGGGTTACAGGCTTGAGCCACCATGCCTGACCAAGTTGTGTACATTTTTATACAACTGTTTTGGCAATGTGAAAGGTAGGGACGTATAATTAGTAATTTCTTCATTTTCATTATACTATTTCAAGATTTATTACTGAATTTTAGAGAAAATAGGAATTATTTTCTTTGGTATTTTAAGATATAAAAAAAATTGTGACTCCTTTACTTTTGTGGCTTGTTAGCTGGTTCTGAAGACAGAAAATAAGAGTTCTCGGCCAGGCGTGGTTGCTCATGCCTGTTTTCCCAGCAGCTTGGGAGGCCAAGGAAGGCAGATCAACCGAGGTCAGGAGTTCGAGACCAGCCTGGCCAACATGTTGAAACCCCGTCTCTACTAAAAATACAAAAAATTGGCTGGGCATGGTGGCGCGTGCCTGCAATCCCCGCTACTCAGGAGGCTGAGGCAGAAGAATTGCTTGAACCAGGAGGTGGAGGTTGCAGTGAGCCAAGATCATGCCACTGCACTCCAGCCTGGCAACAAAGCAAGACCCTATCTCAAAAAAAAAAAAAAAAGTTCTCTAAGTGTTGAAAAGGAGTTTTACTAAAATGAGTATAATTCTCCAGTATGATTTATTCAGAGGATAACACTTCAAGTTCTGGCATATTTGTTTAAAATAAGTGTCTTTACTTAAAACTGTATCTTGTGTCTAATATTGATTAATATTAATATATTAATGTTTTAATATTTACAGGACTGCATTTTTTATGGTTTTGTTTCAAAAGCCATTTTCTTCTGGGAAAACTATTACCAAACACCAGGTAAGATCTTTGCAGAATCTTTTATTCCTAGCAGCTTCTTGTTTAGTGGGCCAGGATGCAGTGCTTATGTTTTGATAATGGGTACTTAATAATTTAAGATATGCCACAGAACAATTTTAGAATTAACTTGCTCTTGTCTTTTCTGAATGGAGACTTTAAACCGTAAAGTACTCAGATCATGAAATGTTTTAAGAGGCTAAAAAAAATTATAAAGCATTCATGTAATTGTTTTCTTCAGTACACACTTCTTATTCTGAAAGATTTACAAATTGGACATGAAAGCATGCCCAAGAGCCTAGTACAAATGTCACTGGAAAGCTGACAAAGCATAGGGGTTAAGAGTGAGGTTTCTGGAGTCAAAGGCATGTTCTGTCTGTCCTCCTTACTGACCTTTACTTTGGGCAAGTTACTTGATTTCTCTCTACCTTAATTTGCTCACCTGTAAAATGGAGATAATAGTAACTTCCTAATGGAACTGTGAGGAAAAAATGAATTAATGCTTATGAAGTTTTTGGAATGATGCCTCATCATTGTGACAGTGTGACACCCTCATGATCATTGTCACTATTCTCTTTAGGCAGCTGTGGTTCAAACTAGAACTGTCCTACATTTTGCATAATCATCTCACATCATCACTTCTTTGGGCAGCAGTTATACCATACTACATGTTTGCTTTATACCATGACTTACAAACCTGTGTCATAATTTTTTTATTAGAAAGACAAATTTAAGTACTTCTGTTTCAGAAACCAAGAACATTTTTTAAAATAGGATTAACAGTCTAAGCCCCATCTTAACTTTTTTCTCTCCTTTCAGATAATTGGATCACTAAAAATTCCTGGTAGAAAAGAATTTAAAGACAAAAAGTTAAATGATCCTAGGAAACTAGTGAGAAACTGAGAAATCATAAAATTGTACTCTGAAGAAAAAGATTTCAAAATCTACTAGCAGACAAGAATATAGATAATGGAAAACAGAATACTGTCTTTTTTTTTTTTTTTTTTTTTTTGAGAAAGAGTCTTGCTCCATCACCCAGGCTGCAGTGTGGTGGCGCAATCTTGGCTCACTGCAACCTCCACCTCCCAGGTTCAAGCGATTCTCCTGCCTCAGCCTCATGAGTAGCTGGGATTACAGGCATCTGCCACCACACTCAGCTCATTTTTGTATTTTTAGTACAGATGGGGTTTCACCATATTGGCCAGTCTGGTCTTGAACTCCTGACCTCAGGTGATCCACCTGCCTCAGCCTCACAAAGTGCTAGGATACAGGCGTGAGCCACCGCACCCAGCCCAGAATACTGTCTTGGAAATCTAGACTTAGTCAAGGGATCTTATGTGTTCTACTTAATTTCAAAATACGTAATTATTTCACCTTTAAAATATTTGTTATTATTATCTTTCTGTATTTTATTTAAAATTGGAATATACAGCAAAATATATGTGACTGAAATTTTTAATTTTTTTGTTTCCATTTATAGTGGATCAAAATATTTAAACATGCAGTTGCTGGGTGTATTATTTCACTCTTGTGGTTTTTTGGCCTCACTCTTTGTGGACCACTAAGGTAAATAAAAATGCGTATTTTGAATGTGTGTTTGTATTTCTTCATTTTGAATATTGTTTTTGTTCCACTGTGTTTTATGTCAAATATTTATCTGTGCAAATGTGTCTGGCACTTTTATAGCATCAGAGAGAATTCAACAAATAGAAGAAACCTGTTGAGTTTCTGGACTGGTTCTTTGGTGAATACCATTAATAAATTTATTCATGATTTGTCATAGATAGTCTACTAGTTAGAATTCCAAGTTTCAGAAAATTTTTAGCATATATGGCTTTTTAATCATTTATTCGTGATCCCTGTTAACAGCTTAGAAGCTATAATAAAAGGTCTGAAGTGGTAAATAAAATCAGCCAATAAGAAGAATAAAATCTCTAAAAGCACTCATTTTTTGCACAATTTTGCAAGTACTCTCATAAATAAACGTCTCAGAAGTAGTATATCAGTTATCAGATTAAATGCGTGGTGGATAAAGTAAACTACTCCCATTTCATATTTCCCTAGATCTATATAGATTAGTCTTTTTCTGCAAGTGGACTGGTTTAAGGAGGAAATGCTTAGCAACCACTTGATAGGAGTTGTATCATCTCCTATCTGTGTATGAGCATTCTTTTAACATTTCCCCATCTGTGAAGGATTTTACTTAGTGAATAAGTGTAAGAAAAAATGCCTTGCCATGAGAGTGAGAGGTAAAGAGTGAAATGAAGAATGTTCTTGGCCAGCACTGTGGCTCACGCCTATAACGCTAGCACTTTGGGAGGCCAAGGGGTGGATCATTTGAAGTTAGGAATTGGACACCACCTAGCCAACATAACGAAATCCTGCCTTTATTTAAAAATATACAAAAATTAGCCAGAAATCACTTGAACTCAGGAGGCAAAGGTTGCAGTGAGCCAAGATCACGCCACTGCACTGCAGCCTAGGCAACAGAGCGAGACTCCATCTCAAAAAAAAAAGAATGTCCTAAAGCAGGGATCCCCCACTCCCTGGCTACAGACCAGTATGGCTTCGTAACCCAATAGGAACCAGGCCGCAGAGCAGGAGGTGAGCCATGGAGGAGCAAGCATTACTGCGTGAGCTCTGCCTCCTGTCAGATCAGCAGTGGCATTAGATTCTCATAGGAGCACAAACCCTATTGTGAACTGTGCATGGGAGGGATCTCGGTTGTATGCTCCTTATGAGAATCTAATGTCTGATGATCTGAGGTGGAACAGTTTCATCCTGAAACATCCCCCCACCACTGCTGTCTGGAAAAATTATCCTCCAGGAAGCCAGACCCTGGTGCCAAAAAGATTTGGAGACCACTGTTCTAAAGGATCCCACTCAGAATAGTGGGGTAGACAGAGTGGAAAGTGAAAGGTGAGAAATGTTGAAATGCCTTGTGAAAAGTCCTTTCCCCTCTCATGGCCAATAGAATAGCTTCTGTATTGGGATCCCTTTGACTTGTTTGCTATGTACTTTGTTAGATGCAGAGTAGGTATAATTGGAAATGTCATATCTCTAGCCACAGCTGCAGCTTGGAGGGGTGAGAAAGCTAGCTGAATTTCCTAGCATGGGAAGAGGTTTTTCACCTTATGCTTGAATATAATTGAATATGATTGAGTGCTGCTATTGCTTATCATCTGCAGTATTTTAAATTTGTTATTCATGAAGTTATGTTTTGGTTCTTGTGTTACTATATTACTGTCCTTTTGTGTTACAATAAGGAGGGAAAGAGGAAGTACTTACATTTTTACTTGGCTCCCTATTTAGTCATCTAGCTCCTAACCTTATCACTACCAACACTGCCCTCTCATTCTTCTACTAAAACCATCATACAGTTTCTCAATTGCAAAATCTTTAATCCCAGCATATTGGGAGGCCGAAGTGGGCAGATTACTTGAGCCCAGAAGTTCAAGACCAGCCTGGACAAAATGGCAAAATCCCATCTCTACAAAAAATACAAAAAATTAGCCAGGCATGGTGCTGTGTGCATGTAATCCCAGCTACCCAGAAGGCTGAGGTGGAAGAGATCACCTGACCTCAGGAGGTAGAAGCTTAACCTTAGCATACTTTACTCTTTTGTAAAAACACCTTAAAACATAAACACATTGTACAACTGTACAAAAATATTTTCTTTCTTTATATCCTTACTCTATAACTTTTTTCTGATTTTAATTTTTTTCAACTTTTTTTGTTTTTTTGGAGACAGGATCTTGCTCTGTTGTTCAGGCTAGAATATATGGCACAATATTGGCTCACTGCAACCTCCATCTCCTTGGTTCAAGGGATCCTCCCACCTCAGCCTCACCAGTAGCTGGGACTACAGGCACCTACCACCACACCTGGCTAACTTTTGTATCTTTTTTGATAGCAGGTTTCCCCATGTTGCCTAGGCTGGTCTCAAACTCCTGGGCTCAAGGATCCACCCTTCTCGCCCTCCCAAAGTGCTGGGATTACAGGCATGAGCCACTGCTTCTGGCACTTTTTTGTTAAAAACTAAGACATGCACGCATTAGCCTATACCTACACAGGGTCAGGATTATCAATATTACTGTCTTCCACCTCCACATCTTGTCCCACTAGAAAGTTTTCAGAGTCAGTAACATGCAAAGAATTGTCATTTCCTATGATAACAATGCTTTCTTCTGGGATACCTCCTGAAGGACCTGCCTGAAGCTATTTTACAGTTAACTTTTTCTTTTTTGAAACCACTATTTGAAGTCAAAGGATATAGTTACCTTTGTTTTTAACAAGCAAAAGTACATTCTAAAGTAATTAAAAGTATAGTATAATAAACACCTAAATCAGTAGCATAGTCATTTATTATCATTATACAGGCTTATGTTCTGTAAATAATTGTATGTACTGTATTATATGACTGGCAGTGCAGTAGGCTTGTTTACACCAGCATCACCAGAAACACACGAGTAATGCATTAACGCTAGGTGATTGGAATTTTTCAGCTCCATTATAATCTTATGGGAACACCATCGTATATATGTGGTCTATCATTGACCAAAATGATGTTATACAGCACATGGCGCACATGGCTATACGTTGCCTGTAAATTTTTTTTTTTTTTTTTTTTTTTTTTTGAGATAAAGTCTTGCTCTGTCACCAGGCTGGAGTGCAGCGGCCCGATCTTGGCTTACTGCAACCTCCGCCTCCCGAGTTCAAGTGATTCTCCTGCCTCAGCCTCCCGAGTAGCTGGGATTACAGGCGCGTGCCACCATGCCCAGCTAATTTTTTGTATATTTAGTAGAGACAGGGCTTCACCATGTTGGCCAGAGTGGTCTCTACCTCTTGACCTCGACTGCCTCGGCCTCCCAAAGTGCTGGGATTATAGGCGTGAGCCACCGCACCCAACACCGCACCCAGCCACATTGCCTGTATTTTTTGGCTTACTGCAGACAGTGCTGGTATGAGCAACCTTGTAAGTGTTACTTGATACATATCTATACAAGAATAAGAAATCTGTATGATGTAATTCTATGAGGGGTATGATTGGGTATTTGTAGCTTCAGTCTTTCTAAGGTAGATAATGCCAAACTATTTTCTAAAGCGGTTGTACCTATTTATTTTTCTTATGTTTAGTGAAATCAAGGGGAAATGTTTTTCTTTCTCTAACTCTAGTTGAATTCATGCGTCTTGATAAAGATAAATTACATTTCATGAATGATAATGTTTTATTTTTGTAGGACTTTGCTGCTATTTGAACACAGTGATATTGTTGTCATTTCACTACTCAGTGTTTTGTTCACCAGTTCTGGAGGAGGACCAGCAAAGGTAGAATTTTCCATTATCAGTTACTTGGAAATGGAAAGTATGTATGTCATATATTATCCAAAGGAATAAAATCTTATCTTTCACCATTTAAAAGAATGCAGGGAGGCTGAGCACGATGGCTCACGCCTGTAATCCCAACACCGTGGGAGGTTGAGGTGAGCGAATTACATGAGGTCAGGAGCTTGAAACCAGCCTCGCCAACATGGTGGAATCCTGTCTCTACTAAAAATGCAAAAATAAGCTGGGCATGATGACGGGCACCTATAATCCCAGCTACTCTGGAGGCTGAGGCACAAGAATTGTTTGAACCCGGGAGGTGGAGGTTACAGTGAGCTGAGATCATGCCACTGTGCTCCAACCTGGGCGATAGAGTGAGACTCAGCCTCAAAAAAAACAAAAACGGGCTTTTTCTGCTAGTTTTACATTTTCTTACAAATATTTTTTGGTTTTGAAGAATTCTGTAAGTTTACAAAAATAGATGTTTGTAAAAATATAAAATAATCTATAGTTGAAGAAATTTCTGAACATGAAAACAGTGGAAAATGATCTTGAAATGATTATAGATTCCCAGGAAGTTGCTAAAATAGTACATAGAGGACCCTCACCCTTCATTTAGTTTCCCCGAAAGGTAACTTCTTAACCAACTCAAGTACACTATCAAAACCGGGCAATTAGACCTAGTATTTCATATCACAATAGGGTGACCATAATCAATAATAATTTGATTGTACATTTAAAATAACTATAAGAGTATAACTGAATTATTTGTAACACAAAAGCTGAATGCTCGAGGGGATGGATACCCCGTTTTACATGATGTGATTATACACATTGCATGCCTATATCAAAACATCTCATGTACCCCATAAATACGTATACCTACTATGTACCCACAAAAATTAAAAAAAAAAAAAGGAAATTAAAATTGGTGCAATCCATAGACCTTACGCAGATTTTACCAATTTTACATACAATCGTGTGTGTGTATGTATGTATGTATGCATGTAGTTCTATGAAATTTTGTCATGTGTGTAGATTTATGTAACCGTTACAAGCAAGATAGACAACTGATGCATCACCACAATGATCTCTTTCATGTTGTACTCGTGCACCTTTCCCCCAAACCCCCTACTCATTCTTAAACCCGTAAATCATTTTTGAAAAATAACTAGGCCGGGCGCGGTGGCTCAAGCCTGTAATCCCAGCACTTTGGGAGGCCGAGACGGGTGGATCACGAGGTCAGGAGATCGAGACCATCCTGGCTAGCACGGTGAAACCCCATCTCTACTAAAAAATACAAAAAACTAGCCGGGCGAGGTGGCGGGCGCCTGTAGTCCCAGCTACTCAGGAGGCTGAGGCAGGAGAATGGCATAAACCTGGGAGGCAGAGCTTGCAGTGAGCTGAGATCCGGCCACTGCACTCCAGCCTGGGCGACAGAGCGAGACTCCGTCTCAAAAAAAAAAAAAAAGAAAAAAAAGAAAAATAACTAAAAACTTGTTAAATTTAAATTATGATGAACATTTATCTAACATTTTGCCACCTAAGTATTCCTATTCATCCTAAGTGACTCAAGTATTATCTTTTTGTTAAATGAGCTACCAATCTACAGTTCCAAACTATTAGAACTATACAGTGTTTCTGTTTTACCCAATTAAACACTTCCTTGCTGGGTCTGACTGGCAGACCCTGACTGAACGACAAATGCACTCAGACACAGGTATTTAGTGAAGGAGTGGGCTAGGGGACCAGACCACTTACAGACCCCAAGGAGGGTGGTATAAAGAGTCAGCAGCTGCGGCTCTGACAAGCTGGCACTGTGGGCATTTATTCAGTATAGATTTAATGACAAAGGCTTTGAATCAACATGCTTTGTGGGTAAATAACATTGATGACCCCCTACGTAGAGAGCAGTCTTGAGCGCAGATGATCAAAGGTCGGTTTTAGGACAACATGAGTAAAGAAGCTATTTAGATAAACTCCTGTACATTCCTTTGTATCTAAGCCTTAAGCTTTTAGGCTTCTGATAAGAGAATCTGGCTGCCTTCAGTCAGAGTATCTCAAAACTTGCAAAACCCCCTGGCCTTCCAAGAAGGTTTGCTTCTATTCGTGTAATTTCTCCCACTACCGAGACCGATCTCCCACACTTCTGTGCATGGTGCATTTTCCTAGACATAGAGGAAAGGATACATAAAGACAAATACGGTGTAATAGTCCCTATTCTGAAAAGGACTTTCAAGCAAAGTAGTGGAGAGAGATAAATGAAGTAATGAAGTGAACAAAGTAATATGCCAAGTAGAGCAGAGTAAAAGAATACTCTGCCTGCAGATTTCATACTGGGTCATTAGTATTAAAGCATGGGCCACTGTTTAATCCTTTCCCCTCACTAATAGAGTACTCCAAAATAAATTTCACGGATTGAAGAGCTTTGTGAGTTTACAAAATAGACATTTGTAAAAACATAGAATAAAATATATAGATGGAGAAAATTCTGAGCATAAAAGCAGTGGAAGAAATCACAAAGGGAAAACTGACTATATTTGGCTTCATAATGATTATAAACTTAACGTATAACAGAAATCAGTATGTAAACAAAAAACTAACAACAACAAAAATTGCCACAAATAAGTTTTACGTTTCTTTCAAAGTATAAATCACCCATTTCAGTTTAAAAAATGTTTAAGATCCTTGGCAGGAAATCAGCAAAAAACTGGGAATGACAACTCACAAAAGAAATAAAAATGACTTGCAAACATTAAAAAAAAAAGTTTTCCTCCTTAAGTAACTAGAAATGAGAGTGTTCTCATTAGTGTGAGAAATGGATCAGGGCATCAGTCCAGGATTTGATGATTGTTTTTTTTCTTTTTTTTTTTTTGAGATGGAGTCTCACTGGATTGCCCAGGCTGGAGTGTAGTGGTGCCCTCTTGGCTCACTGCAACCTCCACCTCCCAGGTTCAAGCAATTCTTCTGCCTCAGCCTCCCTAGTAGCTGAGATTACAGACACATGCCACTATACCCAGCTAATTTTTGTATTTTTAGTAGAGATAAGGTTTCACTATGTTGGCCAGGCTGGTCTTGAACTCCTGACCTTGTGATCTGCCCGCCTTGGCCTCCCAAAGTTCTGGGATTACAGGCGTGAACCACCACGCCCGGCCTTTTTTTTTGAGACAGAGTTTCACTCTGTCACCCAGGCTGGAGTGCAGTGGCATGATCTCGGCTCACTGCAACCTCTACTGCCCAGGTTCAAGCAATTCTCCTGCCTCAGCCTTCTGAGTAGCTGGAATTACAGGTGCCACCGCACCTGGCTAATTTTTGTACTTTTAGTAGAGACGGGGTTTCACCATATTGGTCAGGCTGGTCTTGAACTCCTGACCTCGTGATCCACCTGCCTCAGCCTCCCAAAGTGCTGGGATTACAGGCGTGAGCCACCGTGCCCGGCCTTTTTTTTTCTTGATTATGAGACTGAAGCATTACAAAATTCTCAGTTGCCTTCTTTGTTAACAAAAGATTAAGTTATGTTCTCTGTATTTGATTGTTGTTGATGTTGCCATATCCTAACTCAGTGAAAACTTAAGAAATTTAAAATTACACGGTTTTTCTTATGTGTAGAATACTGAATTTTGTTGTAATACCACACTAACAGAGAATTTATCCATTATAGTGGTAATCATATAATGAATAGAACAGTATCCTCACTTTGCATTGTAAACTTTAATAGAAGTATTGTATTATACTTCCATTGTAGTTATATATAATACACTTATGTATCCATATATAATAGGTATTCTACAAGTATATGTATCATACAAGACATGTTATACCTGTAAATTTGTAAATATAGAATGAATAGTAATGCTATTTAGCCAGGCACAGTGGCTCATGCCTGTAATCCCAGGACTTTGGGAGACCAAGGCGGGCGGATCACAAGGTCAAGAGATCGAGACCAGCCTGGCCAACATGGTGAAACCCCGTCTGTACTAAAAATGCAAAAATTAGCCAAGCATGGTGATGTGCACCTGTAATCCCAGCTACTCAGGAGGCTGAGGCAAGAGAATCACTTGAACCCGGGAGATGGAGGTTGCAGTGAGCTGAGATTGCGCCACTGCACTCCAGCCTAGGCAACAGAGTGAGACTCTTCTCAAAAAAAAAAAAAAGGAATGTATAGTGATGCTATTTAGATTGCTCTTGAAGCTACCTTTCTGAAATATTTACATAAACTAAGCTAATAATTTTCTTTTATGAAAACCTTTTTCCTCAACCTGGACAACATGGCTAGACCTGGTCTCTACAAATAAAAAATTAACTAGGCATGGTAGCACATGCCTGTGGTCCCAGCTATTTGGTAGGCTGAGGCAAGAGGATCACTGGAGCCCAGGAATTGTAGGCTGCAGTGAGCTGTGTTCATGCCACTGTACTCCAGCCTGGGCGACGCAAGACTTGTCTGGGGAAAAAAAAAAAAAAAAAAAAAAAAACTTTTCCCTGGAATGAGAACATAAATTTTAAGTTTATCAGCTTTTTAAGTACTTTATACTTTACTAGATCTTCGAAATGACTTTGCTGGTTTTACCATGCCCTCTGGATTATTTTTCTGTAGAGGAGTAGTATCTAGAATATTCTTTATTCCTTGCATATTGTAGAGTAAAACAAGTTCCTACTAGTTATTCTTTAGCTACTTGGGCTTTTCAACCAAAAGTAAAGTAGCATTTAGGAAGGTTGATTCTATAAACAGTAACAATTTGAGCACAGTAATATGTCTAGCCATGTTAGCAAAGAGATAATCAACGTTATGATTAGTTTATATCTCTTTGATGTCTTACTGCTAATACTGTAAGCTTATCTAAGAGCTTTAATGTCAGATGTTTTTTCAGTTTTTTAATGCATTTTTGTAAATGCTTACTTGAGAAAATGTTTTTCTACGGTCTTAAAAATCAACCCTTGAAAAAGTCATCCTTGATGTTATTTTCTTTATTTTCAGACAAGGGGAGCTGCTTTTTTCATTATTGCTGTGATCTGTTTATTGCTTTTTGACAATGATGATCTCATGGCTAAAATGGCTGAACACCGTATCCTTTTGGAATAGATCAGAGTTGTTTAAAGTCTTGCAGAAAACTACAAGGCTGGAACAATGGCAAAAGAAAGGATGAGTGAATTAAACTGATCAATGATGAATGAAACTTTCATAGATTAATGTAGATATTCTAAATCACTATTCAAATAATGAACAAACTCATTATAAGTTAAATATTTTATAGCGTCTCTGTATCACCTACAGTACCCTAAATTTTCAGAAAGGTAGGGACATTGAAAGAATATTTTGGAATGTCCTGGTGTTGGGGAAAAAAAAAAAAAGGTGATTTGCCACTCAACATAATGTTTGCTCCCTTATCATTTAACAATTTAAATGCTCATAAATGAAAAACCTTTGGTATTTTCTTGCCTGAAAGAAAAAGTTCAAATTCCCTTACCCAGTATTCATTGTCTTGCTCTAAATTATCATCTCTAGCTCAGCCCCAACTCTTCTCTTGTAGAAACCCAACTCTCTAGTCAAATATATCTACTCATTTTACTCTACAGACATGCCTTTTTTCTATTTTCTATTCATACATCCTTACCCACTCCATCCAGCAGAACTCCAAGCACCAGTTTTTATTCTTCTGTTACTGATACTCACTGCCCTAAAACTTATTAGTAAACTAATAATAATTTTCTTTGTTACAATGAGGGAGAAGAGTATGACTTTGGAAAAGCTCCAGGTTGCTTGTGATACAACCTCTATTGCTCACCCTCTTTTGCTTGCCACTTACTCTGCTAAGATTTATGTGGTCATTGACTTAGAAGACAGATTTAGGACTCATTTTACAAGTCAGTTTTAAAGGGCAACCTTAATTCTACTGGACAGGAGTGGTCCAGGGAGATTCCTTGCTCTTGTACCTTTGTTGTACTTAAAGTATGTATGCAATATGTCTTTTAGAGGTTAACTACTAAAATCTGGCAAGTTTATCTTAAGCACTATTATAATTGTTTTGGAGACAACAAAATAAATACAGGCATTCCAATTTATAAATGAGGTCCTGGAATTAAATGTTAGATTGTTTTATTTTGTTTTGTTTTGTTTTTAAGTGAAACACATTATTGAAAGTAATTAAGTTTGGGGCCCCCAGATCAGTCTATATGCAATCCAAAATAGTGTAACTAAAATTTCAGGAGAACTTCAGGTGTCAAAGAGTGACTTTTTGGAATTTTTTTCCTTTACTTCAACTCACTTAGCTGAGGGACATCATGACAGTGCTCTAACTCATATGCTTTACACAGCCATTGCCTTCTTAGGTGTGGCAGATCACAAGGTATGATTTATTTGTTCCTAACAAAAAAGATTCTCAAAAGTTGTAGCAACTATAACTTTAAAGGTACATTTAAAATAAATTATCAGCTGGGCCCAGTGGCTTACGCCTGAAATCCCAGCACTTTGGGAGGCTGAGGCAGGTGGATCACCTGAGGTCGGGAGTTCAAGACCAGCCTGACCAACAGAGAAAAACCCTGTCTCTACTAAAAATACAAAATTAGCCAGGTGTGGTGGCGCATGCCTATAATCCCAGCTCCTCAGGAGGCTGAGGCAGAAGAATCACTTGAACCCAGGAGGCCAAGGTTGCAGTGAGCCAAGGTTATGCCATTGCACTTCAGCCTGGGCAACAAAAGTGAAACTTTGTCTCAAAAAAAAAATTACCATTAATTTATAACATTGCCTGCCATTTAAGTAGTTAAGTAATTCAGTATATGGGAAAAATATACTAGTTCCATTTCTTTAAATATTATGTTAGCCTGGTGTGGTGGTGTGTGCCAGTAGTCCCAGCTACTTGGGAGGCTGAGACAGGAGGATCTCTTTGATCACAGGAGTTTGAGGCTGCAGTGAGCTGTGATCAGGCCACTATACTTCAGCCTGGGTGACAGAGCAAGACCCCGTCTCTGGGGAAAAAAAAAAAACATCATGTATTTAAGGATTGACTATTGAACTGTATGTGTTTCTAATGAGACTTATCTAATTTTACTCACAGGGTGGAGTATTATTGCTAGTACTGGCTTTGTGTTGTAAAGTTGGTTTTCATACAGCTTCCAGAAAGCTCTCTATTGACGTTGGTGGAGCTAAACGTCTTCAGGCTTTATCTCATCTTGTTTCTGTGCTTCTCTTGTGCCCATGGGTCATTGTTCTTTCTGTGACAACTGAGGTAAGATAGGAGCAAGGATTTATTGCTATTAAATTGCTAGTAAAATGAATTGCTATTAAATTTTTAGTTCACTATATTCAATAAATTGTATTTTAATTTGAGGTTGAAAGTGGCTTAAATTGTCTTTGCTTTTTCTTTGTAGTTTTTTTTTTTTTAATTGGAGTTAATTTTATTGTTTATAGAAAATACAAATCAAAGGCTATTACATTTATATATCCCTCACATTCCTATGGCCCAAAAGAATCATTTGAAGAAGCAGCAATTAACCATGTGTTAGGCTTAAGGATTGTGTGTCGCCTAGTGTTTCTCGAATGATTACACAATAGTGCTTTTGTTTTTTAAAACTTTGGAGAATACTGAGAAAATGTACCAATATCTTACAGCTTTTATAAGTTGGCATATTATGAATCATATTGAATCATGCGATTATTTATATATTAAAAGATTAACAGAAACATCTTGTAAGATGTGAACTTTATACATGTATAGTCTTGACAATTCTTTTTTTTAATTTCTAGAGTAAAGTCGAGTCTTGGTTTTCTCTCATTATGCCTTTTGCAACGGTTATCTTTTTTGTCATGATCCTGGATTTCTATGTGGATTCCATTTGTTCAGTCAAAATGGAAGTTTCCAAATGTGCTCGTTATGGATCCTTTCCCATTTTTATTAGTGCTCTCCTTTTTGGAAATTTTTGGACACATCCAATAACAGACCAGCTTCGGGCTATGAACAAAGCAGCACACCAGGAGAGCACTGAACACGTCCTGTCTGGAGGAGTGGTAGTGAGTGCTATATTCTTCATTTTGTGTAAGCATTTTCCCCCTTGTTTTTATTTTAACAAATTTCTATTTATGGATTTTGATGGTCAAATCATTTACTTAATTTGGGAAATTCTTCAGTGCTTGCATTTAGTGCTGACAGTTACTGTGTTGGTTTTGGTAGCTTAAACTTCTAAAATTTAAACAATATTCTTTTTTTCTCTTTGTAGCTGCCAATATCTTATCATCTCCCTCTAAGAGAGGACAAAAAGGTACCCTTATTGGATATTCTCCTGAAGGAACACCTCTTTATAACTTCATGGGTGACGCTTTTCAGCATAGCTCTCAGTCAATCCCTAGGTTTATTAAGGAATCACTAAAACAAATTCTTGAGGAGAGTGACTCTAGGCAGATCTTTTACTTCTTGTGCTTGAATCTGGTAAGATTTTTAAATGTTAATTGGCATATCCTAAAAGCATAATATTTTAATTTTGACAGTTCTTGTATAAGTTTAGTAATTCCCAAATTTCTGATAATAAGATGGGCTAAAATTTAAATTTCTTCTAAGTATAATAGCAAGATTACAAGATCATATTCAGACTACTTAGGCAATTCTTAAGTCGTGTGCCACCATGCCCAGCCATTTAAGCAAACAATTTGTGAGGCATTTTAGAAGCATTGATTTAGTATGTTCCTTCAAATCAGTAAATATAGTAGCATTTAAAGAATTCTAATAACTTACAGGATCTCACTGTTAGCAATCAGTGTTACAAATCACCTATTGCTAACATTTTATAACCTAGTTTATTATTTTTTATAGACATATAAACAAAACCATTTTTAAATAGTTTGTAAAATGGATTTATCTTAGTTTTTTACAATTTAATAGTTTGTAAAATGGATTTATCTTGGTTTTTTACAATTTGTGTGAAATAGGGTTTCTAATATAAGTGGCAGTTAAATAAACAATTATAGCAGATCTTCAAGTAAATTTGGATAATTAAGGGTTAAAATCCTCCTAATTGAAACATAGTTCCCAACATACTCCTCCCTTTTTTGTGTGTGTGTGATATTTTTAGCTTTTTACCTTTGTGGAATTATTCTACGGCGTGTTGACGAACAGTCTGGGCCTGATCTCAGATGGATTTCACATGCTCTTTGACTGCTCTGCTTTGGTCATGGGACTTTTTGCTGCCCTGATGAGTAGGTGGAAAGCCACTCGGATTTTCTCTTATGGGTAGGTACATTGACTATTGAGGTGGTATATCTTAAGTGCAAATTCCATGTTAAGGAACAGAATTATGTTACTTATATTACTTTTAGTACAAATAATTTCCAAATCTTCATTTTTGAAAAATGTGAAGTAAATAAGGGGATATTAATTGGGCATTTGATAAATACTGAATGGAATTAAGCTCAAAGTTTATGCTCCCTTGGCCGAGCACGGTGACTCATGCCTGTAATCCTAGCACTTCGGGAGGCCAAGGCAGGCAGATCACCTGAGGTCAGGAGTTCGAGACCAGCCTGGCCAACATGGTGAAACCTCGTCTGTACTAAAAATACAAAAATTAGCTGGGTATGGTGGCACGCACCTGTAGCCCCAGCTACTCGGGAAGCTGAGGCAGGAGAATCGCTTGAACCCAGAAGGCGGAGGTTGCAGTGAGCCAAGATCGCACCACTGCACTCCAGCCTGGGCAACAGAGTGAGACTATGTCTCAAAAAAAAAAAAGAGAGAGAGAGGGCCGGGTGCAGTGGCTAACGCCTGTAATCCTAACATTTTGGGAGGCCAAGGCGGGCGGATCACGAGGTCAGGAGATGAGACCATCCTGGCTAACATGGTGAAACCCCGTCTCTACTAAAAATACAAAAAAATTAGCCGGGCATGGTGCTGGGTACTTGTAGTCCCAGCTACTTGGGAGGCTGAGGCAGGAGAATGGTGTGAACCTGGGAAGTGGAGCTTGCAGTGAGCCAAGATTGTGCCACTGCACTCCAGCCTGGGCAATAGAGCGAGACTCCGTCTCAAAAAAAAAAAAAAAAGAGGCCAGGCACGGTGGCCCAAGCCTGTAATCCCAGCACTTTGGGAGGCCGAGACGGGCGGATCACGAGGTCAGGAGATCAAGACCATCCTGGCTAACACGGTGAAACCCCGTCTCTACTAAAAAATACAAAAAACTAGCCGGGCAAGGTGGCAGGCGCCTGTAGTCCCAGCTACTTGGGAGGCTGAGGCAGGAGAATGGCGTAAACTCGGGCGGCGGAGCTTGCAGTGAGCTGAGATCCGGCCACTGCACTCCAGCTTGGGCGACAGAGCGAGACTCCGTCTCAAAAAAAAAAAAAAAGAAAAAGAGACTGTAAAGAAGGACTTTGATGAATATGTAAAATTTTAACAAACAGATATATATATATATCTAGATATAAAAAATATATCTAGATATATGAAGGACCTTCCAGGCATTAATATGATATTTAAAATATTGCTAACTTTTAAATATTATTAATTACTTAGTAGTATGAAAATTTGGACTTGTTTCTTCATTTATAAAGTTTGTACTTTAAAAATATTTGCCATTTTTCTTTTCTGAAAAATGTTCTATGTTTTTAGGTACGGCCGAATAGAAATTCTGTCTGGATTTATTAATGGACTTTTTCTAATAGTAATAGCATTTTTTGTGTTTATGGAGTCAGTGGCTAGATTGATTGATCCTCCAGAATTAGACACTCACATGTTAACAGTAAGTCTTTTTATTTTCCTATTTGAATTTCTAGTCATACTTACATAGTTTTTTCTATCCTAAAGTTTAACTGTTTGTAGTTATTGCTCTAAGAAGATTTTATTTTATTTTTATTTATATCAACATGACTTCCTATCTTGCTGTTTACATTTATACTGCTTCCTCTTAGAAAATCTTTTTTTTTTTTTTTTGAGGCAGAGTCTCTGTTTTCCAGGCTGGAGTGCAGTGGCACGATCTCAGCTCACTGCAACCTCCACCTCCCAGGCTCAAGGGATTCTCATGCCTCAGCCTCCTGAGTAGCTGGGATTACAGGCATGTGCCACCACACCCAGCTAGTATTTGTATATTTTGTAGAGACAGGGTTTCGCCATGTTGACCAGGCTGGTCTCGAACTACTGACCTCAAGCCCTCCCGCCTTGGCATCCCAACGTGCTGGGATTACAGGCATGAGCCACTGTGCCTGGCCAGCTGTAGCAACTTTTAATGTTCTCCCTCTACCACCAAAGCTTTACATGTGCTGTTTCTTGTAGTTGGCATGTCCTTTCCTTACTTCTGCCCTTCAGCCTCCGTCAAGATTTTGCGTATGTGTCTCCTCTAGTGAAATACTTTTTTTCTTTCTTTTTTTTTTTGAGACAGGGTCTTGCTCTGTCACCCAGGCTGGAGGGCAGTAGCACAATCTCGGCTCACTGTAACTCCGCCTCCCGGGTTCAAGCGATTCTCCTGTCTCATCCTCCTGAGTAGCTGGGACTATAGGCGCCCACCGCCACGCCCCGCTAATTTTTGTAAATACTTTCTTTTAATCCCCTCTTATCTCCGCAAAGTTTGTTAGATTCCTTTTCTCAGTATTCTCATTATGTTTTGTGCATTCTTCTTTTAGCAACATTGAGTTGCAGTTATTTAATTTGTCATTCTTCCACAATTAAGATATATAAGTATCTTCAGGACCTGATTTATGTATTATCAACTCGTAAGTTCTAGCACCTGGCTTGTCATAGGAAATCAGTTGTTAAATGACTAAAAGCAGCTCTGAGTATTGCTGGTGGAAGCATACATGAGTAAAATGTTTCTAGAATAAGTTTGGAAAAATACACTTTTTTGAGTTTTTAAGAGCGTGTATCCTTTGACATTTAATATTTATCATACATAAACATTCACACAAACATATAGACGTACATGATTCAGGCCGGGTGTGGTGACTCCCGCCTGTAATCCCAGCACTTTGGGAGGCCAAGGTGGTTGGATCACCTGAGGTCAGGAATTTGAGACCAGTCTGGTCCACATAGTGAAACCACATCTCTACTAAAAATACAAAAATTAGCCAGACGTGGTGGCACACACCTGTAATCCCAGCTAGTTGGGAGGCTGAGGCAGGAGAATCACTTGAGCCAGGTGGCAGAGGCTTCAGTGAGTCCAGGTTGCGCCACTGTACTCCAGCGTGGGTGACAGAGAGACTCTGTCAAAAAAAAAAAAAAGTAGTACATGATTCATTGTACCCTTATTTATAATAGTGAAAAAATGGAAACAATTCACTGTCTACCAGTGAAAAAAGTAATTAAATAAAATTGTTATCTATATAATAGAATACTATGGAGCTACTGAAAAGAATGAGATATATCTGTATATACTGGCATGAAAATATTTACAAGATGTACTAGTGCAAAACAAACTGCAGGCCAGGCGTGGTGGCGGGCACCTGTAATCCTAGCTGCTTGGGTAGCTGAGGCAGGAGAATCGCTTGAACCTGGGAGGTGGAGGTTGCAATAAACTGAGATCGTGCCACTGCACTTCAGCCTGGGCGACAGAGCGAATCTCTGTCTCAAAATAAGAAAAAAATTGTAAAAGAGTATTATGATTACATTGTTGGTTTTAAAGGGTGTTATGTGTATGTATGTTAGTACATAGATGGAAAATACACCATTTTAAGCATGACTAACCCTTGGTGATAGAATTATAGGAGACTTTCATCTTCTACATTTTTATTTTCCTGATAAAATACACAATGATGATGTATTTTTCAGTAGGGGAGAAGGAGTACTTATGAGATGATGGAGTCTCTGTAAGCAGTACTTGGTTTCATTCAAAGTCATTAACCATCTACAAGCTTATAAAGCCTAATGACATATTAAAATCTGGAGTCAAATGGTCCCAATCACAGGAAGAAGTAAATAATCTCCCTACACATTTAATAAAGTAAATCTCTTACTACTTTTGAAAAGTAATTAAAAGTATTTGTCCTTCTCACTTTATATTTTCCTTTTATAAAACAAATGGATTGCTTTAAATTGTAGATGTAGGCAAATTAACACCCTGAGCTACTACTATTCAAGATCATTTTGTAAGAGCAGATAATCAAGGATAAGTAACTTTGTTTATCCTTTGGAGTGTTATTGTGGCACCATTAAATTAAAGTAATTTCATTCACTTTGTTAAGAAAAAAATGAGAGACCAGGCATAGTGGCTTGTGCCTGTAATCCCATAATCCCAACACTTTTGGAGGCCAAGGCGGGAAGATCACTTGAGCCCAGGAGTTTGAGGACAGCCTGGGCAACATAGACCCTGTCTCTACCAAAGAAAAAAGTTTGTTTTTAGTTTAAATAAATGAGAGATTACTATTGTATGTTTGCTTTTTCATTATACTTGTTTTACTTTGGAAAAATTTACTGTGTTTAAGACATAATAAGACCATATTTGGAATCTGCTCATTAATAAATTATAATTATTTGCATATAAACTGTTCAAATTTACCTAGTAATATAAACAAGATTTCAGGTACAGTGTATGCTTGCCCTAGTAAACAGTACTTTCAAACTCTTAAATAAACAAAACTTGGCATCATTTATTTATACATAAACCATAAACCAAGTACATACCATTCTTAATTGAAATAAGTCCAAATTCCTCTACTTACCAATTTTGCTTGATATTTGAAAGTTAAAATGTTTCTTCTAAAATGTTCTAAAATTCATATTTTTAAAATTTGGACTTACTGAAACCTAGTAAGGTTTTACTGTAAACACTTTCAAAACTGTAAACAGAAAAACATATATAGCTATATAATAACTTTTAAATAACAAGTTTATTTTTAAATTACTAATTTAAAGGGTTTTTTTTCTCCCTTTTGCTAGCCAGTCTCAGTTGGAGGGCTGATAGTAAACCTTATTGGTATCTGTGCCTTTAGCCATGCCCATAGCCATGCCCATGGAGCTTCTCAAGGAAGCTGTCACTCATCTGATCACAGCCATTCACATCATATGCATGGACACAGTGACCATGGGCATGGTCACAGCCACGGATCTGCAGGCGGAGGCATGAATGCTAACATGAGGGGTGAGTCCTTGCAAAATATTATCCTACTTTTCGACTGTGTTCTAAATTGACCCTCTGTGTTTATTTGTATTAAGTTTTGGGCTTCTGGTATGATAAGATTTTTAAAAAGCAATCTGTGAGTAAAAGAAAGGTCTGAAGCTATCGCTATAGAAAATACTCTTACCTGAACACACATAAAATTAAATATTTTTCAGCCTTTAAAAAAAGGGACATTATGGTTGGGGGTGCGGTGGTTCACGCCTGTTAATCCCAGCAATTTGGGAAGCTGAGGCAGGAATACCACCTGAGGACAGGAGTTTGAGACCAGCCTGGCCAATATGGTGAAACCCTATCTCTACTAAAAATTCAAAAATTAGCCGGGCATGGTGGCAGGTGCCTGTAATCCCAGCTACTCGGGAGGCCGAGGCCGGAGAATCCCTTGAACCCAGGAGGCAGAGGTTGCAGTGAGCCAAGATCACACGACTGCACTCCAGCCTGGGAGACACAGCGAGACTCCATCTCAAAAAATTTAAAAAAAAAAAATTAAAAAGGGACATTTTATGCTTTTTTTGGCAACACATATACTAAAATTAGAAGAGTACAGCAAAGATTAGCATGGCATCTAATTTTAAAAAATAAATAAAGAAGTTCTATAATATGTGACAACATAGATGAACTTTAAGGACATTATGCCAAGTGAAATAAGCCAGTCATGGAAAGATAGATACTGCGTGCTTCCACTTACATGGGATGAAATTCATAGAACCAAAGGATAGATTGATGGTGGCTAGGATGAGGGGGAAATGGAGGTCACTAACCCACAGGTATAAAGTATTAATGGCAAGACGAACAAGTTCTAGAGATCTGCTGTACAACATTGTACCTAAAGTCATTGATAATGTTTTGTGCACTTAAAATTTTCTTGTTAATTGTTCTTACCACAATAAAATTTTAAAAATTTTAATGAAAATGAATCTTGCTCTAGAACACAGAAAAAAATTTAAAATGAAAATAAAAATATAGCAGGAATTCTGATGTCACAGAAAGTTTTTTTTTTTCTTTTGAGATGGAGTTTTGCTCTTGTTGCAAAGCTGGAGTGCAATGGCACAATCACGGCTCACCCACAACCTCCGCCTCCTGGGTTCAAGTGATTCTCCTGCCTCAGCCTCCTGAGTAGCTGGGATTACAGGCATGCACTACCGCACCCGGCTAATTTTGTTGTTGTTGTTGTTGTTGGTTTTTGTTTGTTTGTTTTTTTTAAATAGAGATGGGTTTTCTCCATGTTGATCAAGCTGGTCTCAAACTCCCGACCTCAGGTGATCCGCCCATCTCAGCCTCCCAAAGTGCTGGGATTACGGGTGTGAGCCACCATGCCCGGCCGTCACAGAAAATTTTTTAAAAAGAAAATGAGGCCAGGCACAGTGGCTCACATCTGTAATCCTAGCACTTTGGGAGGCCGAGGTAGGCAGATCACCTGAGGTCGGGAGTTCAAGACCTGTCCCTCCAACATGGCGAAACCCTGTCTCTACTAAAAATACAAAACAGCTGGGTGTGGTGGCAGGCGCCTGTAGTCAGTCTTAGCTACTCAGGAGGCTGAGGCACGAAAATCCCTTGAACCTGAGAGGTGGAGGTTGCAGTGAGCCGAGATTACACCACTTTACTCCAGCCTGGGCAACAGAGTGAGACTCTGTATCAAAAAAAAAAAAAGAAAATGAAAATATATTTGTTCTTAAATGTTAGTGTTTAAATGATTATAATTATAGAGTCCTTTTCATAGTAACAGCTGAATAGATATTAGTTGCAAGGTAAATACAGTGTGCTATTATGAACCCTCATTACAAAAAGGAAATTCTTACTCCTTTTTTAGAAACTTTTATTGCACTATAAAAAAAATGGAGGAAGTACTAATCATTTATTATGATGAATTGTTTATTCTGATTGCTTAATATAAGTAATTTGGGTAATGTCAAAACTTGCCTCAAGTATGATTTTTGGGAAGCCTTTCCAGACAAAGTACACCATAAAATTCAGCACGCTGTGTCATGAATGCCCATGTCCTTATATTTTTACCACTGTATTCTGAATTCCTTGAGGGCAGTGATCATGTTTTAGGCATTTTGAAGTACTAGCCAGTAGCAAAGTATGTGGTGCACTGTATCCAGTAATATTGGTAGAATGTATTAAAAAACTAAATTAGATGTGCCTTAATTTTTAATGTCCTTATATATTTTATTTGTAGGTGTATTTCTACATGTTTTGGCAGATACACTTGGCAGCATTGGTGTGATTGTATCCACAATTCTTATAGAGCAGTTTGGATGGTTCATCGCTGACCCGCTGTGTTCTCTTTTTATTGCTGTATTAATATTTCTCAGTGTTGTTCCACTAATTAAAGATGCCTGCCAGGTTCTACTCCTGAGATTGCCACCAGAATATGAAAAAGAACTACATATTGCTTTAGAAAAGGTACTGTATGTAATTTCTTCACTACTTTCTTCCTTGAAAATCACATTTTTGAAGTCTTTGCTGGAAATAAAATAAACACCCAAATAAATAATAAAACAAAACAGAAAGAGGCCAAAAAAGAAATATAAAGTAGCATTTAAAATTTAATAAGTTGACCTAACAAGAAATATGCAAGGTATAAATGAGAAAAATAGTTTTATTTAAAGGACATAAAACAGTGACTGAGTAGATGGATGAGATTTTCTTGGATGAGAAGACTATTATAATGATGTTGATTTTATTTTATTTAGATTTCAATTTAGTTGCCTTCATTGGATATTTTTGCTTATGGTTTGTGATGTTCTAAAATTATTTGGAACTTACTTGGAAGAGTTAGTGCTTGAGAATAAGAAAACATACAGAATTAATTAATAGGATCCTACTTTGTAATTATAAAGCAACATAATTAAGTGACAAAACTAATAGTTTGGTCCTTGCATAAGAATAAAGACATAAATCAACTTTTAAAAAAATAGTAAGTTCCCATTCTTGTGACCTGGGATTGTTTCCTGGGCAGTGCAAAAAAAAAAAAAGTAACAATAAGAATAATAGGTCGTCTGTAAAAGAAGAAATAATAAAAAATGAAAATAAATGCAGAATTATGGTATATAGCATAAAAGAAGAAATAAAAATAATAGGTTGTCCAGAAACAGACACAGGAGTTTATAGAATTCAGTATATAGCAAAGATGGTATTTTAGATCACTAGGGAGAAATAGTTGACATAAACAACCCACTTTCGGTTAATTCTCTACTTGGTGGGGAAAAAAAAGCTATTATCTCTATGCCATATTACATAAAAATATATTTCCAGTGGATTAAATATGTAAATGACAAAAAAATTATGAAACTACTAAACAGAAAAATATTTTTGTTTGTTTTTTGAGACGGAGTCTTGCTCTGTTGCCAGGCTGGAGTGGAGGGGCACGATCCCAACTCACTGCAACCTCCGCCTCCCAGGTTCAAGCAATTCTCCTGCCTCAGCCTCCCAAGTTGCTGGGATTACAGGCCTACCACACCCAGCTAATTTTTATATTTTAGTACAGACGGGGTTTTGCCATGTTGGCGAGGCTGGACTTGAACTCCTGACCTCAAGCTATCCACCCACCTCGGCCTCCCAAAGTGCTGGGATTAGAGGTGTGAGCCACCACACCTGGCCAGAAAAATATGTTTATAATCACAAAGATAGGGAAAGCCTTTTTAATATACTTGAAACCAGAAGCCGAAAAGGGAGGATAAAATTTACAAATTTGACCATTTGAAAATTGCCAGTTGGTGGAAGATTTCATTAACAAATATAAAACAAAAGGCAGACCAGGAAAAAACATTTGCAGCACATATAAACAGGCAAAGGCTTACTGTGCATAATACTTTAAGTCAAGAAAAAGACAATCTTAGCTGGGCATGGTGGCTCATGCCTGTAATCCAGCACTTTGGGAGGCTGAGGTGGGCAGATCACTTGAGGCCAGGAGTTCAAGGTCAGCCTGGCCAACATGGTGAAAGCCCATCTCTACTAAAAATACAAAAATTAGAGTCGGGCACGGTGGCTCACACCTGTAATCCCAGCACTTTGAGAGGCTGAGGCAGGCAGATCACAAAGTCAGGAGATTGAGACCATACTGGCTAACACGGTGAAACCCCATCTGTACTAAAAAAATACGAAAAATTAGCCAGGCGTGGTGGTGGGCGCCTGTAGTCCCAGCTACTCGGGAGGCTGAGGCAGGAGAATGGCACAAACCCGGGAGGCAGAGCTTGCATTGAGCTGAGATCGCGCCACTGCACTCCAGCCTGGGCAACAGAGTGAGGCTCCATCTCAAAAAAAAAAAAAAAATTAGCTGGGTGTAGTAGTAGCACACACCAGTAATCCCAGCTACCTGAGTGACTGAAGCATGATAATCGCTTGAACCCAGGAGGCAGAGGTTGCAGTGAGCCAAAAATCACACCACTGTACTCCAACCTGGCCAACAGAGCAAGACTGTCTCAAAGGAAAAAAGTCATGTAGAAAAATAAGATGAGAATATAAACCAGCAATTCCTAGAAATAAATAAATATAAAATAGACTATCTTTCACCTTGTGGTTTACTACATCATATTAAAGAATTGGGATCTGCTGATGAAAAGATGGCATCTTGAATATTTAAGTTCTATCATCTTAACCCATTATTTTCATAAATGAAATTAGTAAAGTTTCTCTCACCTCATAATTAGTGGATAGTAGTACATCATGGGGTTTTTTAAAGTTGTGTTTGTTTTGTTTTGTTTTTAAATAGAGCTGGGGTTTCTCCATGTTGCCCAGGCTGGTCTTGAAATCCTGAGCTCAAGCCTCGGCCTTCCAAAGTGCAGGATTATGGGCATGAGCCACCACGCCTGGCCTAAAGTATTTTTTATTTCAATAATAATATATGTCTGTTGCAGGCTGGGCGTGGTGGCTCACACCTGTAATCCCAGCACTTTGGGAGGCCGAAGCAGGCGGATCACAAGGTCAGGAGTTTGAGACCAGCCTGGTCAATATGGTGAAACCCCATCTCTACTAAAACTACAAAAAATACAAAAATTAGCTGGGTGTGGTGGCGCGTGCCTGTAGTCCCAGCTATTCAGGAGGCTAAGGCAGAAGAATCGCTTGAACCCAGGAGGCAGAGGTTGCACTGAGCGGAGATCGCACCACTGCACTCCAGCCTGGGCGACAGAGTGAGACTGTCTTAAAAATATATCTATATATAATATATAATGAGCATATATATAAATAATGTATATATATATATGCCCTTTGCAGAAAACTTCAAAATACAGAAAAGTGCAAAAAAGAAAAAAAAGTCACATAATTTTGCCAGGAATTTTGTCAGTAAACAAAAAGAAACACTTTTTGTTTCCTTCCCATTCTATAAAAAGCTTTTGTAGTGTTTTATAAATTTTCTTCCCACTTAATAATGTCCTGTTGATTAATATTCTAATACATTGTTAATGACTGCAGTATTACATTGTATGGGTAGTCAATAATTTATTTAACCAATCCTCTGTTGTTGAACATTGAGGATATCTTTTGAACATGTTATCTCTCTATAACAAATAATGTGCATATGAATGTATCCGTGTAAATGAGACCTTGTAGTTCATTGAATGTGTCTAGGTAATGGTTAGAATAGGCAGAGTTGTGCTGTATCAGTGAAAATAAGGGTACTGCTGTTGATAAGAGCCCATTTTAGATATAAAGATAGCTGTAGCAGCTGGGCACGGTGGCTCACGCCTATAATCCTAGCACTTTGAGAGGCCGAGATGGGCGGATTGCCTGAACTCACGAGTTCGAGACCAGCCTGGGCAACATGGTGAAACCCCATCTCTACTAAAATACCAAAAAAAAAAAAAAAAAATAGCCAGACGTGGTGGCGTGCGCCTATAGTCCCAGCTACTTGGGAGGCTGAGGCAGGAGAATTGCTTGAACCCAGGAGGCAGAGGTTGCAGTGAGCCGAGATGGTGCCACTGCACTCCAGCCTGGCAACAGAGCAAGACTCCGTCTCAAAAAAAGACAAAAACAAACAAAATAAAGATACCTGTAAGACCCATTTGCCTTCCAACTCAGAGCTGCCATACTAGCATCATTCCTAGGTGAGATATCTTTTTTCCCCCACATATCTGTAGCCTCCAGAAATAGATCAGAATATTTTAGGCACCTTTACTTTAAGCTAATTTCCCCTCTTCTATTCCTTCCTGCTTCTGACTTCTCCTCATTATGGCTGGTTTTTTGTTTGGTTTGTTTTGTTTTTTTAATGAGCTTAATAGTGATCCTGGACCAAGGAACCTGTGTGTTTACTTTCTGTCAGAAAGTATCTCCATTGTGTTGTGTAAAGTAGCCTGTATGACCGTTTATATCACCTCTTTTATTTGACAGATACAGAAAATTGAAGGATTAATATCATACCGAGACCCTCATTTTTGGCGTCATTCTGCTAATATTGTGGCAGGAACGATTCATATACAGGTGACATCTGATGTGCTAGAACAAAGAATAGTACAGCAGGTAAAATATTTTGTTTTTAAAGTAATTTCAATTGAGGTAATTCATACCCCAAATTGTACACCTCATAAGTTATATGGCTCAGTAGTCATTTACTATTCAAAAATATCAATCTTCCAACTCTTTTCTTTTTTGAGACAGGGTCTCACTCTGTTGCCCAGGCTGGAGTGCAGTGGCATGATCTCGGCCCACTGCAACCTCCGCCTCCTGGGTTCAAGCAGTTCTCCCTACCTCAGCCTCCCAAGTCGCTAGGATTATAGGCACCTGTCACCATGCCCGCCTATTTTTTTTTTTTTTTTTTTTTTTGTATTTTTGGTAGAGACGAGGTTTTGCTATGTTGGCCAGTCTAGTCTCAAACTCCTGACCTCAGGTGATCCGCCCGCCTCGACCTCCCAAAGTGCTGGGTTTACAGGCGAGCCATCATTCCCAGCCTAATCTTCCAACTCTGTAATGATAATATCACTTACTTTTTATGTCTAGATTTGTTTTATATCTAAAAATTGCTAAAATTAATGAAGTTTTGTGTTTAGAGGATAAGCTTTAGTTAATGTAAAAAAATTCATTTATGAATTTGGTTCATCTTGGTTCCCAGTAGATTATCAAAAAATAAGTTATTATAAATATACTCGTAAATTAGTAATAATCAACTTGGCTGGGTATATGCTATGTTTGGAGATAGAGGTCAGAACAGTTACTAAAAGCCCTATTCTAGATGTGCCAAATTGGAAACAATGGCTGTTTTCCTTTTCTACTGTGAATGTCAAATCAGTAATTTACTGACCTAAAAGAGTCTAATATTTTAACTAACTAAATGATGAACATTACTTTGAAGATTTATCTTGGACTACTGTAACTGTTTGTGTGTTTGTTTACTCATTCATTTTAGAGACAAGATCTCACTGTATTGCCCAGGCTGGTCTCAAACTCCTGGGCTCAAGCGATCCTCCTGCCTCAGCCTTCCTGGGTCACTGTGCCCGGCCTGTGACTATTTTAAAAATGTGACACAGGTTTGGCCGGGCACGGTGGCTCAAGCCTGTAATCCCAGCACTTTGGGAGGCCGAGGCGGGTGGATCACGAGGTCAGGAGATCGAGACCATCCTGGCTTACATGGTGAAACCCCGTCTCTACTAAAAATACAAAAAACTAGCCAGGGTGGTGGCGGGTGCCTGTAGTCCCAGCTACTCGGAGGCTGAGGCAGGAGAATGGCGTGAACCCGGGAGGCGGAGCTTGCAGTGAGCCAAGATCGCGCCACTGCACTCCAGCCTGGGTGACACAGCGAGACTCCGTCTCAAAAAAAAAAAAAAAAAAAAGTGACACAGGTTTAATATTCCTTATCTAAAATGCTTGGACCAGAAGTGTTTTCGATTTGGGATTTTTTTTTTTTTAATACTCGCCTTACACTTACCAGTTGAGCATCCCTAATCTGAAAATCCAAATCCAAAATGCTCCAATGAGCATTTCCTTTTAGCACTATCTTGGCACTCAAAAAGTTTCAGATTTTAGAGCATCTCAGATTTCATATTTTCAGATTAAAGATACTCAACCCATATCAACAATGTATAGCATATTAAGACATATGTACTAAATGCATTACTCTAAATACTTCAAAATGTATGGATTTTTATAACAGGTTACAGGAATACTTAAAGATGCTGGAGTAAACAATTTAACAATTCAAGTGGAAAAGGAGGCATACTTTCAACATATGTCTGGCCTAAGTACTGGATTTCATGATGTTCTTGCTATGACAAAACAAATGGAGTCCATGAAATACTGCAAAGATGGTACTTACATCATGTGAGATAACTCAAGAATTACCTCTGGAGTCTGAACAATGAAGATTAAATGACTCAGTATTTGTGACATTGCCAGAAGGATAAAATTTCACATTAACTGTATAGAAACAGAGTTCCCTACTACTGGATCAAGGAATCTTTCTTAAAGGAAATTTAAATACAGAATGAAGCATTATGGTACAAGTGGAGTAATTATTTAAATTATGTGTATAAAAGGAATCAAATTTTGAGTAAACATGATGTATTACATCATCTTCAAAAATAGGTATGATGGATTCTAGTGAAGACCAAAATTACTTCTGTTTACTTTCTATCAGGAAGCATCTCCATTGTAAATATGTATTTACATGTTTATTACAAAGACCCAAATGAAAAATTTTTAGTCCATTTTTTGCATAGCCTAAGGATAAAATAGGAATAAAAGTTCTATATTTATGGATTTTCTGTATATAAAACTGGTTTCTAATTATAACTTAAGTCCATTAAGTAAAATCTGTATTGCCACTTTAAATGTAAACTAAATTATTTGGGAGAAACTTCAACCACTGATATAAGCAGTGAGAATAGGGAAGTGTATAACATCACAGTTTTTGATGTATTACAAAAAACCACTCTATAAAATAAATTTTTTTTACTTTTGGTAATATTTGCAAATGAATAATTTATTAGGTTAAAGAACTTATACTAAGTTGTGTCCATGTTATTCATTTACTTACCATGTTCCTTTAAAGTAGAATATTTCATTTCTTGTTATATATTTGACATTCCAAGCTGCTTATCAAGCTGGTATCCAAGCAGTGGTAAGCTTTCATCCTTTCTTAGCTCCATAATGTTGTGAAACAGCCAGTTAAGACAACCGTAAATAATTGTCAACTCACAGTTGAATTCTCTGCCTATGGAGGTAACTTTTTTCTAATTTCTGGAACATACATAAGAAATACCAAAGAATAGGTAGTTATTTCAAAATTTAATAAGTAAAACTTGTCCATAAACATTTGAGCACCATGAAATCAAAATACCCTATAACTACTTTCTATAGTCATATCCAATTTATATTTTTTTATTTCCAGTTGTAACTAGATATGTAGTAAAGTCTCAAAAGACTTTACGATAGATAATAACATGCAGTTCTATCAGCACCAAAGAATGTTGTCCAAAAGAAACTTTTTAATACCTGTCTATTTATAACCATTTGAATATTTTCATTCTTATATTAAGAATTTTGATAAGTAGGTTGAATTTAGTATGAGTACTATTTTCTTATATATAACACAATGGCAAACATGTATTATAAATCATATTTTTGTCTTACCAATTTTAATATATGAGGGATTTTAGAAATTTGTTGTAAGTTATTTTTATATTTCTTGTCTTTTGCATATTTTTTTGCCAAAATCTTCAATACATATTAAAATTTTTGAGTGGTGAGAAAATAATTGCATATTGATGTTTTAATGCAATTTTTGTACATTAAAAAAATTTAAGTAGATAGGTGCAATAAATATTACACCAAAGTTAAAATTGTCATTTCCCTTAGAAGACATATAAACAGCAAAAAAATAATTGATTGTGAGATATTAGAGTAAAAGAGAGTGCAGGGGCTGAAGGTTAGGGAGGTACAATTAGAAAGTATGAAAACTCTAATACTGAAAGCACCAGGGTACTGTGTTTCAGCTCATGCAAATCATGCAACTAGGCCAGGTGCAGTGTCTCATGCCTGAAATCATGGCACTTTGGGAGGCTAAAGTGAAAGGATAGCTTGAGCCCAGGAGTTCGAGAACAGCCTGAGCAACATAGCAAGATTCCATCTCTACAAAAATTTTTAAAAATTAGCTGGGACATGGTGGCACACACCTCTTGGGAGGCTGAGGCAGGAGGACTGCTTGAGCCTAGGAGGCCAAGGCTGCAATGAGTCATGATGGCACCACTGCTCTCTAACCTGGGTGACACAGCAAGATCTTACCTCAAAAAAAAAAAAAAATTCATGCAACTTTAGGCAAATCAGCCTCTCTGAGGTATCTTTTTTTTTTTTTTTTTTTTCCTCATACATAAACTAAATAAAACCTGCTCAAATCTACTGCACAGGATTTGGGAACAAAAAGTATAATGTGTATGGAAATGCACTGGAAGTTGAAAAAGGCTAAATAAAGTCCAAGAATTGTTACTATTTTAAGCCTGACTTCAAAGGTAGCCATCATTAACTTGTCTCTTTTTTTCTATAAATCAGCATCTCAAGAGATTAATTAGATGTTTAATGTATAAATAAGTTAAAAATAATATCCAAAATAGAAGCCTGTTTTGAGGGAGAGGAGTGTGGAATTTTTTTTTTTTTTTTTTTTTCAGAGACAAGGTCTCACTCTGTTGCCCAGGCTGGAGTTCAATGACATGATCATAGCTCACTGCAACCTTGAACTCCTGGGCTCAAGCAATCCTCCCACCTCAGCCTCTCCAGTAGGTAGGACTGCAGGTGCACACTACTACGCCCAGCTAATTTATTATTTGTTTGTAGAGACAGGGTTGCAACATGTTGCCCTTGCAAGTCTCGGAACTCCTCGGCTCAAGTGATCCTCCCACCTCTTCTTCCCAAAGTATTAGGATTGTAGGCGTGAGCCACTGCACCTGGCCCAGAAGCCTGTCTAATAGTTCAGTTGCCCCAAGAAAGGTGATGGTGGTTGTATACCACACCTATTAATTTATCTTCCTTCCCTTTCTCCCCAACCATTGTTTTCTATTATTACCAATTTGGGAGTTCATGATGTAGACTTAGAATAAATTTTACATCTTTTATAATATAAATTTATTGTTTCTTTTTTTTTTTTTTTTTTTTTTTTTTGAGACAGAGTCTTGCTCTGTCGCCCAGGCTGGAGTGCAGTGGCCAGATCTCGGCTCACTGCAAGCTCCGCCTCCCGGGTTCACGCCATTCTCCTGCCTCAGCCTCCCGAGTAGCTGGGACTACAGACGCCCGCCACCTCGCCCGGCTAGTTTTTTGTATTTTTTAGTAGAGATGGGATTTCACCGAGTTAGCCAGGATGGTCCCGATCTCCTGACCTCGTGATCCGCCCGTCTCGGCCTCCCAAAGTGCTGGAATTACAGGCTTGAGCCACTGCGCCTGGCCAAATTTATTGTTTCTTTAACGTGATAACTGATCAAGGCCCAGCACAGTGGCTTACACCTATAATCCCAGCACTTTGGGAAGCTGAGACAGGAGGATCACCTAAGCCCAGGAGTTCGAGACCAGCCTGAGCAACACAGAGATCCCCATCTCTAAAAAAAAACAGAAATAACTGATCAAACTTTAAACTTTTCTAATTTCATCAGAAAATTAAGCTACATAATTCGATATCTCTAACCAAAGGATCCTGGTTTTACTTCAGATTATGATTCTCCCCTAAAATGTCTACCATAGTAATGCAGAGATGTGTGTTTTTACTAGTTAATAGTCACATGGTCCAAAGTTCAGAAGAGTAAATGGCATAAAGACTTCCACTTCTTTCACTCACATACACAGCTCTCTTCTCTACAAACGACCATTCTTGTCAGTTTCTAGACTATCTTTCCAGATATTATATGCATACACAAGAAAAAAGTGTATATTATTTTTCACTTAGAAATTATTCCATAATTAAAACAGTAAAAAGCATTCTTTTTTTAGCTGCCTAATAACTCCATTAATGGATTTTTTTTTTAAGATTGGTTCTAATCTTTTGCTATTCTAGACAATACTAATATGAATAGCCTTATATAGACATTTTGCATGTGTGCAAATAAATATGTGGAATTCCTACAAGTGGAATTGCAGAGTCAAAGGGTTTGGAACGTTTATAAATTTGAAAAATATTACTAAATTTTACTCCATTGAGATTGTAACAGCTTACCCTCCTGCCAGCAATGTTAGATGTCTTAAAATGGAAATAGAGAAACATTTCTTATGGCCTAAATTAGTAGCAAATTAAATATATAGGGAGATTATATTTAGATGGCTGAGCTCAGTTATAAAGCCACTAAAGTTCATTTCATTTTAGAGTGATTTTCCAGAAGGAAAATTTTCTGGTAAATTAATTATTTAATTTAATTAAAACGGTAAATTACCAATTTTTTTTTTTTTTTTTTTTTGACAGTCTTGCTCTGTCACACAGGCTGGAGTGTAGTGGTGCGATCTCTGCTCACTGCAACCTCCACCTCCCAGGTTGAACTGATTTTCCTGCCTCAGTCTCCCGAGTAGCTGGGACTACAGGCACGTGCTCACCATGCCCAGCTAATTTTGTATTTTTTAGAGACACCGTGTTGGCCAGGCTGGTCTGGAACTCCTATCCTCAGGCAATCGGCCTGCCTCAGCCTCCCAAAATGTTGGGATTACAGGCGTGAGCCACCATACCCGGCCCTTTTTCTGTCTTATTCCTTGTATCCATAGCACATTTCTGACACAGATGTTCAAAGATGGTTATATGCAGTGTGTATAGAAACACTGTTCTGTTACATATTTTCTTTCCTGATATTTTTATTAAGGTGTTTTTAACATAGAATAAATTGCCTGGGCGTGGTGGCTCACGCCTGTAATCCCAGCACTTTGGGAGGCTGAGGTGGGCAGATCACGATGTCAGGAGATTGAGACCATCCTGGCCAACAGGGTGAAACCCTGTCTCTACAAAAAATACAAAAAAATTAGCTGGGCCGGGTGCGGTGGCTCACGCCTACAATCCCAGCACTTTCGGAGGCCAAGGTGGGTGGATCATGAGGTCAGGAGTTCGAGACCATCCTGACCAACATGATGAAACCCCGTCTCTACTTAAAAAAAAAAAAATACAAAACAGCCAGGCCTGGTGGCTCGCGCCTGTAATCCCAGCTACTCAGGAGGCTGAGACAGGAGAACCGCTTGAATGCGGGAGGTGGAGGTTGCAGGAGCCGAGATCATGCCATTGCACTCCAGCCTGGGCAACAGAGTGACACTCCATCTCAAAAAGAAAAAAATTAGCTGGGCGTGGTGGTGTGTGCCTATAATCCCAGCTACTCAGGAGGCTGAGGGCAGGAGAATCACTTGAACCAGGGAGTCAGAGGTTGCAGTGAGCCGAAGTGGCGCCACTGCACTCCAGCCTGGCAAGAGAGCAATACTCTGTCTCAAAAGACAAACAAAAATCATAGAATAAACTACACAGATCATAAGTGCTCAGTTCAGTGAAGTGGTGAGGATATGGAGCAACTGGAACTCACTGCTAAAATTAAGTAATACATGCATCCTGTGACCCAGCATATTTCACAATATGAAGCATGTGTTTACAAAAAGACTTGTACAAGAATATGTATTCGTAATAGCAAAAAAAACTAGAAACAACCCAAATGTCCATCAATAAGAGAATGGATAAGTCAATTGTCATGTATTCATAATGGAATAATAAGCAGTAAAAAATAAAATTAC